GCTGCTGCTGCTGCTGTTGGTGGTGGTGCAGGTTGTTCCGGCGGTTGTGGTTGCTACCCACGCTGTTGTTCCGCGAGTGGAGAGCCCCCGAGGCATTTATGGAATTGTTGTACGCGGAGTGACCGTGCTGGGCTCTTCCTCCCAGCACGTTGGAAACCTGGTTGGGATTGTACCCGTCCATGCACGGGCCGTTGTTGCCGGCGTTGTTGTTGTCGTTGTTGTTGTTGAGGTACCCGTGCTGCTGGTGCTGGACCTGTTGTTGCTGGTGCTGCATCTGCTGGGCCTGTGGCTGCTGAATCTGCTGAGGCGAAAAACAGTCGAGCCCAAAGCCCAGATCGAAACCGAACTGATCGTTCATTGTTTGCGTGCCGAATGTTGAATTGGAACGGGCTATCGAAGAGCAACAGAACAGAACAGAACCAACCGATCCGATCCGAGTCGATCCGATCCGCGCTGAATGGAAAGGAAACACAKCAAACAATGAATCAATCGAAACGGGACAACTGCCGCGTCGATCGTCTTGGTTTGGTGGCTGTCTCGATTGGATCTGCCGCGTAGCGACTCAGTGCTGGTGGCAAAAGTACCTATCGAGATCGATGAATCAACCGACCAACCAACTAACCAACGAAACTAAGGGCTGGGCGTGTTCGAGTCGTGTAACTAACTGGGTGTGGAAAGCAGCTGGCCATGAACGATGATGGCGCTTAGTGATGGCGCTTAGTGCAAAACCCGAATGGTTGAAAAGAACCATCCATTGTTCGAATCAACCATGGTTTCCGTGGCTGCTCAGAGTTGGTTTGCCGTCCCTCTAGCGGGGAGCTGGTACAGGTACTGGTACTACCCGTACTATATTGCACCATACCTATGGCACGGTACCAGTTCGACATCGCGTAGTTTTTCGCTCAACTGCTACCGGTACTAATACGATGATACGAGAGCGCACGGTAGGTACCCTGCGTCTAGCACGACCGCAAGCTAGCCGTAGCGTTTCTTCTACCGTACGTACTCCTGGAGTACCAGTAACACGACGTTTTCTCGCAATCGATAGGGGGGGTTTAGTTAGTAAAACGATGCGCCCTAATTCACTTCTTCTATTTCATGATTTTGGTATGGTACCGTACGGTACCCTACTTAACATTTTCCGATAAGAATGCGGGACAAGAAGACAGATTTAGTTTCAGTTTCGGTAGCTGAAACTCTTCGAAACTCCATGAATTGTTTCCTCTGCCAATGATGACGAGCTTCGATTTGAATTATGACCCCAACCTGGTCTTGTAGGAGGCAGTAATACTACCATACGACTGTAAAATGTTACTTCGTACTTCGTACTTCATGGTTGTTCTGAAGTACGGTACCTGCTACCGTTCGTACGTTTCGTACAAAAAGATTTTTCTTTACATGCCGTACGAGTACCGTACGTACCATACGGTGTAACGCACAGACGGTAACGTTGCGAAAGTCTCGGACCGAAACAAAACACTCGAAAGTGCACGATGTGGCCTTTGAAGGCATCGTTCGACTCTATCTGTGCGCACCCAGGGTGCGCAATGAACAGTGCGTGAGAAACTCTATTGTTACTTCCTTGCACTTAATGGTATCATGACAAAAACATCGACGAAGAAGAACGAATACAGTAATGGAATAAAAGATTTAATGCGTTTATCGCAAAAGTGTTACAGTATCAAAACAACGTGGAGTCAGCGTCAGAGCATAGCAGTCAGTACTGCCGCACGGTAAGGTGAACTTGTGATTAGGAGGTTCGGTCCACATACAGGGGTAAGCAGTGGTAGTAATGACAAACTTCTGTGGTGTGACCCACGCCTAACATTAAAGAATAGCTGTCAAGTACGTACGTACTCGTATCTACAGTACATACTTCGTATCATGGGTCATGACCCCTGCTTCGTATCACATTCGTTGATCTCTGTGGGCAAAACAATCAGAATATATTTCAAAATTATACACCTGGGTACACGTGGATGATTAGCTCAGTTGGTAGAGCGTGCGACTGTTAATCGCAAGGCCATGAGTTCGATCCTCATATCGTCCGCTTTTTGATATGCACCAATCAAGTAGAGAAATTATTTTTTTGCACACATTGTCAGCGATCGGGATAATGATTGGTTTAACCGAAGCAAAGTTGGCGTGGCCTTGATAGCTCAGTTGGGAGAGCGTCAGACTGAAGATCTGAAGGTCCTGTGTTCGATTCACAGTCAAGGCACAAATGTTTTACCAACGGAGGTTTTTGTATCCATGACTTTGTGATGGTATCAGCCATCAGTGTTGTAGTGTTTGCAACTCGGAACAAGAGAGTGGTTGTCATAGCTCCAGCACTCTCTCCAGTTAGGATCTGCAACTAGTAGCTACTGGCGGGTTGGAAAAGATTACACCATTTTTTGGCACAACTTGCAACAGAAATAGATTACCTCGCAAAGAACAAAGATGTCAGTAGATCAGAATAATACTAAGAATTCTGTGTAGCTCCCAGTACTGAATCTAAACAGAATTCTTACTATTCTGATCTACTGACATCTTTGTTCTTTGCGAGGTAATCTATTTCTGAT